CGTACTAACACTATGTGGACGATCGTGTTCCCTTCCTGGTAGGAGGTTGATACGGGCTTCTATTTAGCGGGATACATCTTCCATCGTTACTATGGTAAACTTGTTCCCTATCGATCTAATTGGCAAAAGTCCCATCCAACCGCTGCTGTGAAGCCTATTGGGTCATTCCAATCAGATTTCGGCAGAATTCGCGACCGATGTGTGATAGCTGAAATATGATTAATGGCTGTTAGAAAAACGTTTTCTAATACGTTCTTTCTCACTTGACTGCACGTAAGGTTTAACTTAAAAAATGTCTTTTTGCTTTTTCTATTTAATAAATATAAAAATGTACAGTCAACTTTCAGGAAGACGGCTGCGGCCATACAAGGGCTGCCTGGGGGATACTCAGGTACTAGTTGGTGACCTAACCACTTGGCCAACACCTGCCCATTGGTAACAGAGTTCATATGAGCGCATTTTTGGCCTTTTCATTTAGAGAGATGACGAGTGTGGAACACGAACAACGCTTAATTTCAGTTTCGAGGTAGGTTGGCTCGTTGTTTGGTTATTATCCGGAGTACGGCACTGTGCGAGTGTTATCGTCCGGTATAGTATGGTGAGAGGTACTTTTTTGTGTTTTCAGTCAGCGCAATTCTCTGCTTGAAGTTCTACCAAAAGATGCTGTCCCTGGATTATGAAAAGACACGGTATCATCTTCGAAGAAGCCAGCAATAGGTTATTAAGGGTTCTATTCTACTAGGTACCCTTCCTCGATCCGAGGATCAAATTTTGTCCGCCTCACATTATTATGTATGTGTTACTCAGGCGGCTGAATCCAGACTGTGTGCATCATAGTACAATATTTTTTTTTACAAAATAGATAATGTCCCGTTATTTATTTGGGAGCAGAGTCCTGTCAGGTTTCCTAGGCCAAGGTAGGCAAATTCTCTTGTGAATTCACAACCAGAGCCTTAAAGCAGTCGGAGTCCGGCCCACAGGGCAGCGGCGCGGTTTGTAAAGGCCGCAATCCATTGGGGATCAGATCATATCATACGCCCGTCGGATAGGGCCAAACGCCCAAGGACCCCAATACACCTAGATGCTCAACAGAGCCGATGGCCACTACCACAACCAGTTGTGGCTGAGTGTGGTTCGTACTACTCTTCTGCGTTGGTTTGGAATCAGGCTTCTTAGCTAACTCCCCTAAGTAAACTATCCGTAGTTCACCAACCCGGTTATAGCCTCGGATATTGGCTTTTCATCCTCTCAGTTTGGTGGGAAAACCCCGTCCGCCGCGAGAAGGCAGTGAGTAGGGCTTCCACAACAAAAACTGTTGGGTATACTTGGTCGCATTTCGTGAGGTGCAACGGTGGGGTAACCAGCGCAACCCAAGACATCCACGTCGACCATAATGAAGCTTTCGGAGGCATTATTATGCCGGAGGGGGTGTGGTGACAACTAGCGAGATCAACCACCGGGGTAATGTACCGGAGGTTAATTTTCAATCTTAAGAAAGGAGTGGCTCGTGACGGGTATCATTTGTGACCGTGCATAGTAAGGTGCGCGCTGAATGGAGCATCTCGGAGTAATTCTCCCCCTAGGCACTAGCCAGACCCTTGAATACCAATCTTTCGAATGGCCCTTTTCATATTTGGCGCTCGTTCATCTCTATTTCCTTGCAGCCTTAATCTCCATGACTTCTTCATTTTTACTTTGGCATTGATTTGAACATTCCTTACTTCTCTTTACTCTTTCATCCTAACGGGCAGTTATGAGACATCAATCAAAATGGGCGCACGGAAAGCATGGTAGCTGTAACCGTGAGACAAGTACGGTGATTCAGTCAATGATCGTTTGAACTATGCATGTTCGAAATATGTTCGTCAATAGAAATTCAGGCAAATAACGTTACAGTCTTACTGTTTATTGAATGAAAGAAAATTCACGGGCTTTGGTCTGAGTAAACTGGCAGTATCGCGTCCACAAGTAAATCATAGTACTGTTTTCTTTTTTAAAGGTCGTTGTACTGTGTTTTGTTTGGCATGCAGTCCGCACTCAAGCGATACTCCATTAAAATATGCGGGGGCACCGGACCCGAGGCATAGACAGAGTCCCTGTGGATTCTCGTGGTATCAGAAACAAGCTTGTTTACTAACCTCAGTCCTATTCTGTGGAAAGTAGCTTGTTTAATGCATGCGTAATTCTACTTTCACTGTCACTTTTGCTTATCACTTTGCTGCATAAGACACGCCATTTATTTAGATACACTATTTTTCTATTCTACCCAAACCAAAAAATAGGTGCCTATTTGTGGAATAGTTGAAAATATGACAGCGTTTATCTGTCCGGCTTGTGGAACGCAAACTTCATTGTTCTGTTCTTCAGTCACAGAAGGAGTCGATCATCTGGCCAAAGTGACCGGTTTGCCAATCCTCGAGCGGATTCCGATCGATCCACAGCTGGTCGAGTCCGGGGATTTTGGGAAACCGGTGCTATTCGCCTATCCTCAAGCCAAAGTGTCCCAGTTGTATCGAAGACTCGCGCAGAAGGTGGTGCTTTTTGAACAGTCGAATGAAAAATCCGCGCGTGATTATAAAGAACAATGAGAGTGTAAATATTACCAACCTCTTCTCTTTGTACATTACACCAAACCAATAACTAAATATCAGTGTGCATCTTGGCTTCCGTACCAAAGCACGGTTATTAAGGAGAGACTAGTGGATAAATAAAACAAGAAGGGTTTTTGGCTATTATTTGAAAGATTTTAAATCAACTAAGCGAATTAATTTTTCCCATAGCCAATAGGGGCAATAAAAACTAAACCATTGGTGGAGTGTCGGAGCTTTCATGCCGAAGCAGCCTAATATTACTTTTCAAGAGTTTAAAGTTGATGAATGTGTGGAGACTAAGGGTGTCCCAACGTTTTTTTTACACGAAATTGAATACAGTAAAATGGGTAAACCCCATGATCCGAAGATATACTGTAACTGGGAAAGTATGGGGAAAATTCAAGTTTGAATTAGCTTGTTGATTCTGCGTTTAAAGATATGGATGTTGAACGTTGGAGGGAAGACCGAAAGGGGAAGAGTGTTCCACAGTTGCGCTGTTCTTAGGAAGAAAGATGATTGAATGTTAAGTGTGACATCTAGTGATAATCACTGGAAATGGGGGGGGGCGGGGCGGGAGCTAGTCGCTTGTGCTCGGGATCTACGAGGAAGAACAAGCGTGCAGACGTGGAAAGTTCTTTAGAGCGAAATCCAAAGTAGTATCGATAGAATAGGGATAAAGAGACGATTGCCGGACGGTGAACTAGTGATTTCAAGTTACTTGTCAGAGACGGGTCGTGGATGAGATCCGATCGAGAGGTGGACGGGCTTGATCCCACACACGACTGCACTATTCCAGTGTAGCACGAGTCTGAGCTTTGTAAATCGAGAGACGGTGATTGGGGGGTGAAGAATCGTTTAACGCGGAATAGGAAGCCGATTTTGCGCAAAGCGCAGGAAACAAGCAGGTAAACATAAGGTGACCGTGAAACAAAAGATAAGGAAAAACCCAATAGGTTGCACGATTCTGTGAAACGGAGAATTTTCGAGTTGAAATGCAAGCAGAAAAGTAAGATGCGTGCTTTAGAGAAATGGACACTAACCAAGTTTTACTGGCATGGAAGAGATAACGGTTGCGACAGCCCTAAACAGAAATAAGGCTCAGGTCGGAACTTAAGGAAAAACAAAGGGAGGAGCGGCCCTCACTAATGCTGGACTTAGCGATGTGCGAAGAGAAATAGGACAGAGAAGGGTGCAGATTGGCGTCATCGGCAAAGGCGTGAGTAGGATTTGCTGTTGAGGAAAGGTCGTCAATACACTTCAGAAAAGAGGAAAGTTCAGAATCTTGTGAAACCAGCACGGTCGGGGGTACGGGTTGGGAAACCAACCAGTTGGTGGAGGCTGTTCAACAAGGCAAATGGTTCTGCTTCACGTCCAAAGGGCGATGTCTCTGAAGAGTGTAACAGCCAATCCCTGTTCTGGACATTAAAATCATCCGAAATCGTGAACTGAACGTTGGGGTCTGCTTCAACAATGCTATCTATTCCTGAATAATCCTATTGTAACATCAGAACACCAGTCCGAAAGCGAACAATTGTTTTCGAATCATTCATATTCGTATCTGTACAGATCAAATAAGGGTTTGTTGTTAGTATAGACTCATTTTCACGTTGGGTCGAAAGGTCATTTGGGATGGGGAGGGGTGGGGTGAACCCTATGTGTCTGTGAAAATGGTTGTGATTAGAGTGGTGGTGGTGATGTTGATGATTAATTTGGGGCCAGTTTAAACCAGTCGCATCTGTGCACATAGTTCAAACTGCTTTAGTGGCAGTGGGGTTGTGTTTCGGATAAAAATGGAGCAAGAAGGGGCGTGGATTGAAGAGAATGATGTACATATTATGGACGTGAATGAT